CTCTTTTTTTTTTTTTTTTTTAGAATTTTTTATTATTGGTCACACTTCATTTCTGCACTCCTTGTGAGGAGTTATTGCTAATTTAGCCTGCTGTGACTTATTATTAGATACTTCAGTGGAGTTCGGTGACTTCCCCCATTTAATAATTACGTTATGCTACAAACTAGTACAAAGTTACAAATGAAAAGAGTGTGCTTTTGAAACTTCAAAAATTATTTTTGGCTATTATACCTTTCTTGGTCTTTTGGCTAAGATGATAGTAAGATCTAGTATCTGTTCTGATCAGTTTTAAAAAAAGAAAAGAAAACGCTTTTTGAAAATTTTGGACAATTTGGTCACAAAAAGCAGGAGGTACTCTGGACAAGAAATGACAGGCATTATGGATCCTCTCGATTCCTCTGCAATCCACTACCTTCTTTCCCCCATCTCTCTCTCTCTCTCTCTCTCTGTGCATGTGTGTGTTGTAAAGTGTCAGCACAACTACCCAGATGATAAACAGCTCACTGTTTCTCATCTCAATCTTCGTAAATGTATTTCCAATTTTCCATAGCTTGTGGTTAACTCACGCTGCTTGTTGAAGTGTTGTCGTTGTGTTTGACAACCCATGCTGTCGCTGTCATCTCCACAGCTCTGTACATGGTGAGAGGAGTTTGGTATTTGTCTGCCCATCTGTAGTAACTTGTAATTCAAAATTTTTCTCTGAGACCAAAACCAGGATGGTTCATGTTTTAGCGAAGACCGCCGCAGAAAGCCGTAACAACGTTTCCAGCAAATATGGAGTACCTGACAGTCAAACAGCAGAGGGGAACAGTCCGGAGAGAAAAAAGAAGGGAAGAGAGGAGAAGGAGGGGAAGAGGAGAAACAGAAGTGGAGCAGATCAGGCTAACTTAGGCAGGGGTGAGAGATGGTTAATCCTTCTGGCTGGAAGTAATCAATGCCGTCCCTTGGGCTTTCCTACCGTAAAGGGGAGGAGCATGTGTGAGTCCCTTATGTACCACTTTTGACTTGCCGGTGGAATAGGAACCGGACTGATGCTCCCCAGAATGGAAAAGGAGCCAGAACCATAAGGTTCTGTCTGTGTTAAAAAAAAAAAAAAAGGATGGTTCATGTTAGCAACTTCGTAGGTAGCACACGCTGTCTGTTTCTTGTTGTGTTGTCGTCGTTTTCAAGTTTCAGGTTTTCATGTTCGTCCCCACAGCCTCGTGCACGCACGCTGTGAGCGCGCGTCTGAGCACAGGTCTCAGTAGGCGGTGTAAGGGAGGGAAGAATCAGGAGGAAGTCTGTTGGGAGTTGGGAGTTCAGGTTTCCTTGACGTACATGGAATCTGGAACCTGGTCGTATTTCAGGCCAGGTGAGTGCATGTTGTTTAAGATCGAGAATGCTTAGCAGATGTCTCTGTTGATTCTAGTGTGTGCCTGGTAGCACACGTCTCTGTTGCCAAGTTGGGAAGGGAGGGTACAAATTAACAATTTAAAAGTACTCAAAACCTTTGCAGTCGTTCTGAGATTGTTGGTACAGCTGCTAGCCTGCTACATTCGCTTCGCGTAGAGAGAGGGAGGCAGTTTTAGCGTGGTTCAGGGTGAAACTAATGCAACTACTACTAGCGTAGCAGTGGCGCCACCTTGAGCAGTGAGAGTGTAACAAGGGGAGGTGGTCCAGGTGGAAAAACCCTACTGGTTACATGGTAAGAGAGAGCCGGTGAAGAGCAAACTTGAGTTGTACCCATTGTGATCGCTATACCATGAAGATCCGAGGGTGCGTGGTGTGAAACCCATCATCGCATCTCAGGCTCTTTACAGCGTCTTTGGACAGCGAGGATAAGACCATAGCTTTCTTTTTTTTTTTTTTTTTTTTTCCTCTTCCGTTTCGAACTTCAACTTTGGGGTGCCTTCTTGACGAGGGGATAAGAGCATCCCTTTTAAGTGGGTCCCTGTGGAGCTGCACCTGCTGGGAATCTGGTCCAGCATTTCTGCAAAACAATACCATGCGAAGTTGCGACCATATTTCTCTAGTCTGTCTTGGACCGTAGATGTCCCATCCTGTAGAATACAAATATGGTACCACTGCTCTTTAAGTCCCATTTCTGCGGGACCATCCTGTAGATGGGCCCAGTTCTCACAGCTTCTCAGTATTGCGGCCCTGGGCAGTTTGTCTGCCACCCAGCTGTATTTGTTAACTGTCCTGATATGATATGTCTTGACTATGTATAGACAAAGTATACACAAATCCTGTTGCCTGCAAGCTGTGTGCTACCAGCAGCATTTGTGTTCTCTATCTTAGTATGTCTTGACTGTGTTGTTGTCATGGCTGTGTGCTGAGAAATCCGACTGTATCAGGGCTCAAGAGTCGAGTCCAAACGTTGTCCTTCGTCAGCAGGGCATGCCCCCTCAGCAGTTCCCCATGTATCCACCAGATTCCACCTACATTTCTACATTGATGAGGCACGAGGGAGGTCGGGAAATCCTTGCTTGGACGACATACAGCTGCAGGGTGATGGGAAGAGGGGGGGGGGGGCGGGGGTGGCGAGGCGGAGGGGGGGGGGGGGGGCGGGAAAAGGGGGGGGGGGGGGGGGGGGGGGGGGGCGGGCAGAGAGGGGTTTTGATGGGAACCGGGTTGTCTAAGTCTAATCCTGCTGTGAGACGAGGAGTCATCGAGGACAAAGTTGGTTGGTTGGAACGTGGAAGGGTATGTCAAAGTGTTCCCGTTGGCAGCGGCTATACCATTGCCTCTCCGTGGGACAGTGTTCAGCCAGGGTTTCCACTGAAGTTTGATTATTTTGGTCCAACTTGCAGAGCCTCTCTTCTCTGTCCACTCAGAGGGAGCGGAAGTTAAGCTGATGATAGGTACAGCGCACTTGATGACTGGCAATGACTGCATCTGGCTCAATTGCCAGCATTTGTCTGAGAATCTGACCTCCTTCCAGGCTACGTGGGCGTCGACTTAATTGCCTTCACGATCAATTCTCTCGCCTGCATGCAGTCGTATATGTGGTGTTTGTGTTCAATGCGAGCATCGCATTTGCCGTGCGGCCATCAGAACCGGTAGCTGTGATGCGGAAGAGATTAGTCATGAAGGGTGACCGCTTGTGGGCCAGTGGAGATGTTTCCCCCAAGAGAATGGCTTTGACATCATCCCATGGTAAGTGGGTGTCTGTTAGGTAATGCCACACAGCGTCCCACCAACTCTCCACAGTTGGGCCACCATCGGACAATTTAAATTTTAAACACACTCGGAAGAAACCAAGAAAACTAAACGAATCCATGCGTTTGAAAAAGGACAATTTAAGATTTTAACCAAAACTGAACGAACAAAGTTACAAAACCAAAAAAACTAAGCAAATCAATGCGTTCGAAAAACAGACAAAACCAAACCTGAGCGAATCTACACATCCGCCCTCGCTCCACGCCTCGCCTGCACAAAAAAAAAAACTGACTGTGCAGCTTCCCCTGTTCCGGCTCTAGATTCGTCCTCCTTGAGGCCCCTTTGCCAAGCGCTGCGCGGCCCACCGGCACTGCCTCACTCCCCGAATTTTCATGGGGCCGGGTGGGGGAGGGTGTTAGCTGAGGACAGGTTTAGTCCTCACTACGCATATAGATCGATATACATATGGAGATAGGGAGATAGGGAGATAGGGAGATAGAGATAGAGATAGAGATAGAGATAGAGATAGCGATAGAGATAGAGATAGAGATAGCGATAGCGATAGAGATGATGGGCAAGGAGGAAGAGTGGTACCCCAGATGCACCGTTGTCTTGTGCCCTGCAGAGCTGCTCACATCGCGGAATGACAACCCGGGCTCGGCGATAGAATCCCGTCCAAGTCAGCACGGTTGGATAAAACCTGAAAGAAACAAGGGGGAAGGGGGGAAGGAGGGAGGTACGGGGGAGGAAAGGGGGGGGAGGGAAGAAGGGGTGGATAAAAGGGCGAAGAAAAGGAGGGAGGAGGCAGGAAGGAGGGAGGAAGGCAAAGGGCAAGATGGGGTGGCAAGGGGAAAAGGTAGGGACGAACAAAGGAAGGAAGGAAGAAACGGCAGAGGGAGGAAAAGGGAGGAGAATGGCTGGTGAAGACAGCAAGGAAGGGGATAGAGAAAAGAGGAAAACAGTGAGGTACCAAGGAAAAGGGGAAAAGCTGCCAGCCAGCAAAGAAGGGCAGGCATGAGAAATGAAGGCAAAGAGGGAGGGAGTAATGGAGGAACAAGGAGAGAGGGGAGGAGTAACGGCGGAAAGATGGGAGAATAGATCGATCGATAGACGCATAGATGGGTGAATAACTGGATAGATGAGAGGAAGGGAGGAAAGGAAGGGTGGAGGGAGGGAGGGAGTGGCAGAGGGAGGGGAGAGGGAGGGCGGCAAGGAAGGAAGGAAGGATGGGAAGGGGGAAGGGAAGAAGCAGCACAGGCATGAGGGGACAATCCAAGTCAATTTTATGTACATTTTTCTACATAGTACATACTGAACTCTCATTGTGCCTTGATGTGATAGCCTGATAGGGATATAAACATCAGATTGGTTCTTTCCTTCAGCCATTAAAACAACACAATGACAAGTGGAGAGGCTAGGAAGCAAAAGTTTTGCAACTTAGAAATTTACAATCACAAAATTGTTAATCGTGGTAATAAATACTAATAAATTAGTAATAATACATCAATCAGTAATTCAAAAACATGGTTTGCTAAAGCGCCCCAGCATCACTGGAGGCAGAAAAGATGACGAGGATTGCCTACTACCGTATTCACCCGAATAGAGCGCCCGGTCATTATAGCTGTATTTTTTTGGCACAACTTTCAGCCCAGATATGGCGATAATTACCGGACATTCTATTCGGGTGAAGACGGTAGTGGTATGCCATCAAAGTGGCAGATGGAATTACTGACACATGGAACGACTAACAGATGGAAGTACTCAGCAGAGGGAACAAACACGAAGGGTCTCGCCTCACCACTGCCGAGACGAAAAGCGTTCAAGTGCATGTTCCCACAGGAGTGGAAAGATGCATCCGTTCCTATAAATAGCAACAGATGCATCTCGCCACTTTTTGTGGAAGATGCACTCGTGCTTTTTTTTTTTTTTTTTTCCCGTTTCGACAGTGGTGTGGCGAGGTCCTAACAGATGGGAACTACTTAGCAGACGGAACGACTAACAGATCGAACTACTCAGCATCAGATGACACCGACCCTAGGCTCGTCATCTGATGCTGATGAGTGTCCCTTTCTTAGATGACTCAGCCCCTACATTCTGAATGCATTGGACCGGAAAGATAGCTTGTATACATTCATGATGAGGGTGCATGCCACTGCATGGCGTTCAGGGAAGATGGGCTCGTCATCCTCTGCTCAGGGTCTCTCTGAAGACGACTATGCGTTGGGGATGTGTATCCAACGGTACTGTCTTCATCCACTGTCTCTGAAATGTCTGGACACGTCTCCGATCGTCCAATGCTGTTTTATCCACACAACATGAAGGGCAACAGCAGCAGCTAGGGAGACACCCCAACCCTCTGACCGTGCAGAGAACGACGCTGAGAAGAGCTGATAGAGAGTTGAAACAGCCTATGTAGGTTGTCGCGCCGACTCAGAGCTCGAAAAAGCAGACGTACCAATGTGATAAAAAATAGACCATAGACGTACAAAAAGAAGAAGCAGAAGAAAGAAGAAAGAAAGAAGGAAGGAAGAACGAAATAGAAATAGGAAGAGGAAGAGGAAGAGGAAGATGGAGAAGATGAGAAATAAGAAAAGAGAAGATGTTGGTACGCACGAAATAGCGCAAAACCTTGCTTCGTTAAAATGCCAACATGATGAAAGAATAAAAAAAAGGCCAGTTCTCAGAGAGACCCTGAGCGCAAAAACCTGCTCAGGGTCTCTCTGAGAACCACAAGTAAAACACAAAATACTAAATGGGGAGGTGCCATTGATTTTCAGGGACTTCAACGCAAAAAGGATATATCATTTGATTTGGTGGTGGGCTTGCTCAGTTCCCTTCAGCCTATATCATATCAGCAGATTCAGCACCCAAAAAAAAAAAGAAAAAAAAAGAGGGTCGGTGGAGTGTTGAGTTGCCAATCCAGATAAGTCGAAAATGTTGAGCTGTCCGGTACGTCCAAAATGTTCTATCAGTCCAAAAAATAATTCCTTCCAAATGTATCTGTCTAGCTTCCAATCCAGATGCTTGTGGAATGTTGAGCAGTGGAGCGAGGCCCATAGAATGAATGCCCGGTCACAGCTTCTTGAAAAGTGGGGAAAAGAAAAAAAAGGAATTACTTTGACAGCCGTCTACTTTCAAATTCCAATTTGTTTGCTTGATTGATAGGTGCTGAGGACATACTCACACTAGCACTCTTTTTTTACTTATTTCTGGATAGAATTGCGGCCAGATGCATCCTAGTACGGCCGTAAATGCAGTCAGATGCATTCAAGATATAGTACTAGTAGTGTGAGTATGCCCTGAGACTTGCTGTTACAATCTCCTTTTCCTGCACTGCTGGTGAGCCGTCTCCACTCCTTTTTTTTCGTCTTCCTTTTTTTATTATAATAAAACTACGCTATATTCTTCTCTCAAATCTTTCATAATCTTTCAAAATCTTTCAATTCACCTTCACTCCCTACCCACCCCCTACTCCAAAGGCTTATACAGGGGACCCCTGCAAACATAGCTTTGTTGTCTCCCTCCAGCCATCAGAGGGGATGCATGTTGTCCCCCGCCCTAACCATGGTGGTCAAGGATGGGGTGGGGGGGACCACCAGTTGGGGTACGGCTAATGCAAAGACCGAGCATTTCGCCAGTAGCTGCGCGTCCCATCTGCTTTCCCCACCCCCCCATGCACCCCTCCCTTTTCATTGTCCCCCACCCCCCAACCGAATAACAGCAGTGTCTAAGGCCAGCATTCTCCCACACACCACACACAATCCACTCACACTTGCACTCACACTCACATTCACAGTAGGGTCCTTGGCCAACACAGCTGTCTCCACTCTTTGACAAAATGCCACGACCACATCCTGCGTGAAAAACAAACAAAAAAAAAGGTCTGAAAAAGAAGGATTCCTTTTATAGATGGACTTTCGACTCTTTCGAGACGATTAAATGGTGGCCTGTGGCTCTGTTCTACTGAATTCTACGGGGGGGCGGGTTTGACTTTTCCGGGGGGGGTGTGGACTTTTCCGGGGTGGTTGACCCCTCTTTGGCTGGAGAATGACCAGGGAGTCCAGGTGGAAAGCAGCGAAGAGGAAGTGGGAAGCAGTGAAGGGGGATAGCGACACCTACACTCATCATATGAGGGGCTGAGCAACCCGATTAATTAGCATGGAAGTTGTAGTTAGGCTGCGTGATGCCAAATGATCCCATTCGTTGAGCTCAACAATTTTGTCTGAACGTCTCTGAAAGAAGAAGCACCCCCTGCTCTCTCCTCTCCCCCCCCCCCCCCCAAAAAAAAAAAAAAAAAGGTGAGCAGCTTCAGAGAAGGAAGGGGTAAATCCAAGGATTCAAAGACAAGAATTGTTGTTTCCATGGGACGCTGGCGGCTGGACCCCTATTCCAGCAGGTGGCGCTCCCCACCAATAGATGGAGGAGTTTTCAAAAAAAAAAAAAAGAAAAAAAAAAGAGAAGGGGTGGCGACGAGCACTTGGCTGGAAGAAAGTCAAAGCGAGACTCACATGACCACCCCTATGAGCATTCTTGGGGCTCCTCTCTCATCATCACCCTGCATGCATAACACACAAGCAGAAATACATGACGCTTTTTCAGATTTTCTCAATGAATTAATTGTTTATATTGAATATTAGCCCTGTTTTATGCAACAACGCAGGAGATTCAATGACACAGCACCGGAGAGTTGACAACACAGCACCGGAGATTTGATGACGGCAGCCCCGAATCTGGCTGAAATACAGAGCCAGATTCAGCAACAACACGTTGAGATTTGATGAGACAGCAGCGGACAGTCGATAAGACAGCATCGAATCATGATTCGAATGTAGCTCAAATGCAGTGCTAGATTCAGGAATACCACTGGAGATTTGCTGCGACTGCAGTGACATTTAAATCGATTAGATAAAACTTCATAAAAGCTAAGCCTCATTCAATTTCATTTATCCACTTTATGTATATTGGACTCTCGCACAAGTACCTGTTTCACTCAAAAAGAAGAAAGAAAAAAAAACTTTAAAAAAGTCTATGTTTGACATTTGACTACAACAACCTGGACTTTCATATTAAAAAAAACTTAAAAAAAGAAAAAAAAAAGGATTGTGACCGGCATGAGGGTCCAATTGACCAAGGAGAATTGATTCAATTGAATTATGAATTATTAATACAATTATTACTAGGTTCTTTTTTGGGGGCAACGGTGGCCATGGCACAAACGAGTTTCGAATTGGCAAAAAAAACATGCGCAAGCAAAACAAACAGCTGCCAAATTCGAAAAGGCGATGAAAGCACCGCAGCCGTGACAGAGGGACAGATGTCATAATTACAGAGGTGGGCCGTGGTGGCAGATGGGAAAGAAAAAAAAGGAAAAAATTAGAAAAGAAATAAAAGATCGATTAAGTTTCTATGTTGACCTAGGCTACTTGGCTCGCCCGGCCGTGCAGTACGGCCGTCCATCCCGGCCAAGTGGCCTGGGAGCCGGAGGTGAAAGTAGGTCTTTTACTTGCTTTTTTTTTTTTTTTTTTTTTTTTTGGGTTGGGTTTTTTTTTTTTTTTTTTTTTTTTTTTGTTCGGGGGGGGGGGGAGGAGC